CTGCCGTTCCTTGGGCTTGTCTGCAATCGGTTGATCGGCTTGCTTGGCAGCCTTTTTTGCGGCGATCTGGTCATCGTCCTAAAGTGCATAGCGCTCTGCCGTCGCGAAGACTTCTACCAATGTTTGGCAAGGAGAGATAGTCAGCTCGCGATACAGCTCACACTCAATTGGCAAGCCTCTCTTGAAGGCCGATGATGCGATTCGATCGTCACATCCAATAATGTTTGCCCTTTCTGCTTTGAACCTCTTGATGTAATCTCGGAGGGATTTATCGTACTTCTTCTGCAGGTTGAACAGGTGATCAGGGTTCTTCTTGATCGTCCGGTAAGAAGTGTATTCTTTGGTGAAAACGTAAGCTAGCTCCTTGAAGTTGCTGATCGACTCGGATGGCAGGGTGTGAAACCAGTCTTGGGCTGCTCCTAGCAAGGTCATTGCAAACACCTTGCACATCAGCGCGTCGTTGGCCTTGTAGAGCATCATGACACTTTTGAAATGCTTTAGATGGCTCTCGGGATCCCCTTTGAAATGCGTGAATGAAGGCGTTGAGAATCTCTTTGGGGGAGCAGCCTGCTCGATTTCAGCAGTGAAAGGCGTAGAGTTTGCTTGGTCCACCTCTTTGCGTAGAGCATCTTCGAAATTTCCGCCAATCTTGAAGTTACGAAGTCGGTCGTTTATGAGCTTCTCGACGTCCTCCGTGCGCCTGGCTTGCCGATCACATTGGCAACCCTCGTGATTCAAGCAGGGATAGTTGACTTCCTCGTCAACTTGAAGAGGTTGACCTCCTTGTTTGCCTTGCTCGTGAGGCAGATTGGTGGATTGAGCTTGCGAAGATTCCTCCCCGAGTTGTTGCCGTGTGTTTGTTCTCGAGCGGGTTAGTGAGCGTCGGTCGTTGCGTTCGTCACGCAATCGTTCACGGACTCGTGCCCCCTGTGAGCCAAGTCTTGAAGGGATCATCGACCAGCTCAGAGTATGGCTTGCAGATGTCTGTGTCTCGTCAGCACGATCTCGTTCTCTACCCTGCCAGTTTTTCTCTGACTGACTAGTCTAGGATCCCTCAAAATGTTCGTCAGTATGCTTGTGGCTCCTTCTCTCCTCATAATGGACTCCACAGTCAGCGCCTTGATTCAAGTTGATCTGCCTGAGTAGTTGGCCAATTAGATTGTTTTGGTCGTCAACCCTCTGCGTGAGTTGATCAACCCTTGAATTAAGGTCCACTTGACTATGTAAGTCGGCTAGAGAGGTGTGGACCGGGCCCATTGGCGTATGGGCTAGGGCTCCGTTAGATGTGCACACGGGTGCATACGTCAAGTGTGGTTGCAGAGAAGGGAGAGAATGGATATGCTCCAAGACTAGGACGGTGTCGGAGTAGCCGCGGGGCTATGCAGCAAATCCGGTAGCTGAGTGGTGGAGCTGCTGATGTGTTCCGACGACAGAATGGCGCGGCAGAGCAGCTTCAGCAGCCGTCGCGTGCGGCTGCAAGGCTGTGGAGGTCATAGGGCCATGTGGCGGCTGTTCTGCAATTCCATCATCTATTTGTAGTGGTTGTTCTGCCATTCCAGTAGTTGTCTGCATCGGCTGTTCTGCAATTCCAGCAGCTGTTCTGTAACTTCGGCAGCTGAAGGTGGCTGCACAGTGTGAGGAGGCGGCTGCAAGGTGTTGGCAGCCACGGTTCCGTGCGGTTGCAACGAGGTTTCCACCACGAAACCATGAGACGGGCCCGTTGTGGTGGTGTTGCTCTTTGTACGTCTTGTATCAACCATGATTGTTTGAAATAAAGTGTGGAAAAATGGATTTGGAGCACGTTTTGAGTATTATTTCGTGCTCTCAATGAAATCACCAATTTGTGGGAGCAAATTTCCCCACGAGAATATTCGATTGGAAAGATTCCCCTTTCTTCTTCGCTGCCTCTTTCTCCTTGCAAAATAGAACAAATAAGAGGACCACACCCGGAGGGTGTTGGCCAAAGGCCCTCCGATGCCTAAATTAGTTCAAGAGTTTGTAAGAAAAACACTAACTAATTAGGGTACGGAGATATATGTGTCTATGGTGTAAACCGGGCAGCCAGAGCCTTATGTAAACGAGGGAGAGAGAGGAGGTGGCTATGGTTTGTGAGAGGAAAATTTATGCAGAGTTTTAGTAGTAATTCTGACGTACCTCAACCCTTGTGTGTAGCCATCTATTTATAGGGGCCTCGGAGGCTAGGGTTTCAGTGGAATAATTCCGTAGATGGAAAGGAATTATTCCTCCCCGATTTGACGAGATTTGATTAATTAGGGATTTAATTTATTTGATTTAAATCAAATCCCTAATTGTGGTATGAATCAAATCAATCCCAATTTAATTGGGTAACTCCCAATTAAATTGAGGAACTCCCAATTATGTCAAATAATCCCCAAATAGAAGGAAATATTTGACCTAGGATTTTGATTTAATTTGGTTCCCACAGTACCAATGTTGCTGCCTTTTGGTGGTGAAAACATTACTTTCATCATCATCTTGCTCGTTCAATGTCTAGTTAATTGCTCAATAAAAGTCTAGTTAGTTGCGTGTACTGTGCTTCAAAGTCTACTTGGTTGTTTAATATATGCAATCATATCATCTAGGCAGAAATAACAAAGAAAATTCCTCTCTCTTAAAAAAGAATATGGCCATTTGGTCACATCTCATTTTTTTGCAACAGCATTGGCGTATGTTAATGTTGTTGTCATTGTATTTAATTAAGTTTATATAAAAATACATACGTTGCTAGTCAGAGAGAGAGAGAGCTGGATGGCTTGAAAGTTTCAATGCTTGGAAAATTCCTCTCTTCTTTTCATTTTCTATTATATGTTGTAATTTCTATTGTCTTTCCAATGTGCTTTCTAATTTTAATTTTTAATGTCTGGTGGTTTTCCTGGTTCGTGTATTTATCATATTATTATTCGATCCTGAGGTGCAACGCGTCTTCTTAATGTTAACAATAAATTAGAAGCAAAAAGATAGAGAGAATGTTTTGAGAATATTCTAGCTATTGCAAGCCTTAACGGAGGGAGGCTTGCAATAGCTTATTCAATGGGAGGGGCCCTGTGTGGCTAAGGATGCTTTTGAGTTTTTAAGGCTTAAGGGTGTCTCTCTCTTGTTTTAACCCTTCCGCTTTTCCTCCCCCATGTAAACCATGTAACGTGCTCCATTGAATTCAATGTCAATATTGTTAAAAGTCAGCTGGGCAAACATGCTAATTTATAATATTTTTTTGGGGTTCTTAAATCTAGGTCCAAAACAATTAACTATCAATGAGTTTAGTCCACGCGTTTTTGGCTTTAGATGTAGGTCATTTGATTTTATTACTCTTTTTTATTGTGTCGATTTTACCCTTTGAGCTAAATAAGGAAAACATTGAAAATCTAAATTTAATGAATTATTTACTTGTAATTGAATTTCAAAAGTTAAATTTGGAATTCTTTCATTGATAATATTTACCTAATATATGGGTAAAATACAAATTAATCAATGAAAGTAAAGGCCCATATATTATACTAATCAATTAGGCAAGCATCCACATTAAATTATGTACCTAACATACAGGTAAATAGTGTTCTTATTAGCAACGAAAAAAACTTAGTGATAAATCGTGTTACCTATAAGTCATGAACATAAATTAGAATACTATCTATAAGTTAGGAACATAAATTAGAAGACTACCTATAAGTCAAATACAAAAATAGACAAATAAAATTGTAAGTTACCTATAAAAAAATGTACATAAAATACTATTATTCATTGTCTAAAATATGAAAACACACACACACACATATATATATATATATATATATATATATACCTACGCAGTAGGCAATATGACAATATACCTACACCATAGGATAATTTATCTACAAGAGTATATACTATACCTCTACCATAGGGTGAACAAAAATAAAAATAATTATTTACCTACAACTTTTCGAAGAAAACGAAAGGGTAAAGGAATCTTGTAATATTGAATGCCATGATCTTGGGTCACATTCAAAATCATCAGCATGAGGAGGCTTTAGAATTATATGTGGCAATGTACATATTGTCAATGAGCGTACAAGATCAACATTCTCTACCATAGGGTATATATAAATGAAGAATAGAAGAAGATGGAGAACGAAGAAGAAATGGAGAAAGAAGAAGATAGAGATGAAGAACAAGAAAGAAAAGTGTGCATCTGGTTAATAAGCTAAATTTAAGGGGAAAAAAAAATGAAGGTTCGACATTTACATTCAAAATGTAATTATTCCCTTAATTGTACATGATAAAATCTAATCATTAATGGCATATAAATTCTCATCTTACTCATTTTAGACAATAAGGATATAATAGGAACAAAAAATTTAAATACAAATCAGTTAAATACAAAAGTTTGAATCAACATGTCAAAGATGAAATATAATCTACGTGGCAAATTAGTCAAAGGACTTGTATCAATAAACAATAATTCGAGAACTAGACCCAACTATTGGTTGGATTTTTGGACCTCTATGAATATTATATATTTTGAATATATTTTATAAGTGGCTGTAAAAAGATGGGTTACAAAGTTGGGATTCGACCCGGCCCATAAACAGGTTTAGCTATTCTATGTTCTTGGGCCGATCGATCAGTAGAAAATTGCGAACTCGACTGTACTGGATCAATAATTCAAAAGAGATACTTGTGAAGATATTTGTTACTCTCCCTACTCAGACTAATTTCAAAATACATATTTGTGCAAACCAAAGGAATAATTAAAATGAAAAAAAAAAAAGAAGACAAAGGTTGAGTTTCCTCCAACCAAAAATTAAATAAATTTGGTTTTCTAACTTAGCCCATCAATTTTGTCGATAGTTGCATCTCCTCATTCCATCGAGATTCCATTAAAAAAAAAAATACAAATACTGTCAAATTAGGAAGAAATATTGAAGGTTGAGTAGAGATAATGGAGAGTGTAGAGAATTTTGGAAGCTATGCATATTTTCTGATTTCAACTTATGTTCATTCTATTACACATCAAAACATATATACATGTAATAACCCTAAAACGTTCCATGAAACATTCCCTAAGACATTCCATGAAACATTCCCTAAGACAAGGATTACATTGCTCAAGAAAAGTATTCCCTAAAACAAGGAAGGAGACAAGTGCCATGAGACAAGGGTTGTCTTGTGTTTCATGTCTTTGTGTTCCACAAGGTGACAATCACACAAGATGCCCATATTGCTAACACTCCCCCTCAAGTTGGTGCATAGATATCACCAATGCCCAACTTGATCAGTGAGTTGTGGAATACTCTGCTAGAAACTGCTTTTGTCAAAATATCGGCCAGCTAGTCTTCGGACTTGACAAACGGAAGCTGAATTTCTTTATTGTCAAGTTTTTCTTTAATGAAGTGTTGATCCACTTCAACATGTTTAGTACGATCATGTTGGACTGGATTGTGTGCAATGGATATTGAAGCCTTGTTATCACACTGTAGATGCATTCCTAATGTAGGTGCATATCCAATCTCTGTAAGCAATTTCTTTAACCAAAGGAGTTCGCAAATTCCTTTGGTCATTCCTCTGAATTCGGCCTCTGCACTAGACAAAGCAACAACATTCTGTTTCTTGCTTCTCCAAGTAACCAAGTTACCACCAACAAATGTGAAGTACCCTGATGTTGATCGTCTATCAGTGATATTCCCTGCCCAATCTGCATCTGTATAGCCACTGATATTCAGATGATCATTTTTAGAGAACATAAGTCCTTTACCCGGTGCGGACTTCAAATATTTAAGAATTCTAAGAACCGCATCCATATGATCTTCACTCGGACAATGCATAAACTGACTAGCAACACTTACAGCATACGCAATGTCGGGTCGGGTATGGGATAGGTAGATCAGTCGTCCCACCAATCTTTGATATCTTTCTTTGTTAGTGGGTACTTGATTGGGATATTCCCCAAGGCGGTG